GTTTCTCAGAATATGACTAGCTATAGCTCTGTTTTAAGTTTCAGATTTCATGGGATAGTTTTACTATCGAGTTCTTTGTATTTTTCTCTATCAATTATTGGTTTCGTTTTGCTAAGGTTAAATGGAAAAATGAATGCTTGCTCTCCTTCTGTTGCTGTAGCTCTAATGCAAGTAATTTCACATAAGCCATCTGAGGCAGCACAGCATGATGTGAGGACTTTGGAACAGGCAAAGGGCGATGGGAAACAGCAAGCCACTGAGGAGGGCTCCTCTTCACACGCAGAAGAAGATGGCAAAGGAAGCAGCGCAAACCTCAGGGTAAAAGATGCACCTGACCGCTCTGTAGGAGATGGTTTCGCTCTCGAATTCTCGGCTATAAAACCGGGCATTCTTGCAGACATCAAATTCGGAGGATCTGGTTCCTGCCCAAATCTTCCATGGGTTTCTACTACTGCTCCAGGTCCAAATGGCAGGACAATTTCCGGTGTTACTTACAGATACAATGCGAACCAAATCAGGATCGTTTGTGCGTGCCATAGTACCAACATGTCGCCTGAAGAGTTTGTTCGGCATGCTAGTGAGGACCCTGGTAATCCAGAGGGCGGTGCTGGTTTGGCGACGTTTCCGAACACCAATCCTGCAGCCTCAGCTCAGAGCTGATTCTGTAGAAATGCATGTTCAAGTAAAGAGTGTTTTTTATTATTATTGAGGAATATTCTGTGCGAAACTTGGTTCTGTGTGGGGCATAAGCCTTCTTTCTCTCCCTACTTTTTCCACTGTACTTGTTGAGTTAAACATGTTTGTTCTACCAGCAAAGTAAGTTCTGCAATAAGTAGTTGCGTTTGTAGGTAATTACTTTTTATCGTCATTCCTTCGTCAAATAGTAAGCGATAATCATTTTTCTCTACCAATAGTTCCTCACAGAGTATGTTATTCCCTTGGGGAAAATGATTTTGGTTTAAACCATGCCATATATGCAGGAGTTAAAGTTTGTATAGTTTGTTTGTTTGTTTGATTTTTTTTTTTT